CCGTCACTCTGACAAGCAGCTAGAGACAACATAATTCTTGCTGTCACACTGACAAGCTGCTAGAGACAACATAATTCTTGCCGTCACTCTGACAAGCTGCTAGAGACAACATAATTCTTGCTGTCACACTGACAAGCTGCTAGAGACAACATAATTCTTGCCGTCACTCTGACAAGCAGCTAGAGACAACATAATTCTTGCTGTCACTCTGACAAGCTGCTAGAGACAACATAATTCTTGCCGTCACTCTGACAAGCTGCTAGAGACAACATAATTCTTGCCGTCACTCTGACAAGCCACCCGGCTGCCACATCTCATATTTGTCAAATTTATTTTGCTGTGGTTGTATGTATAATGTTTATATGTTATGTAACGAGTATCTTATATAATTTTGAAAATATCATAGATGGATTAATGAAAATGTCTATATTAATGTAATATATGACATTAATGTGCCCATAGTGATTATTATTGTCATTATTATTGTCATTATTATTGTCATTATTATTATGGTGTCAAGACTAATGAGACACTCTTAGTGATTTTAATGTATACCTGTATGTCAGCATAGTGTGTACCTGTATGTCAGCATAGTGTGTACCTGTATGTCAGCATAGTGTGTACCTGTATGTCAGCATAGTGTGTACCTGTATGTCAGCATAGTGTGTACCTGTATGTCAGCATAGTGTGTACCTGTATGTCAGCATAGTGTGTACCTGTATGTCAGCATAGTGTGTACCTGTATGTCAGCATAGTGTGTACCCTGTATGTCAGCATAGTGTGTACCTGTATGTCAGCATAGTGTGTACCTGTATGTCAGCATAGTGTGTACCTGTATGTCAGCATAGTGTGTACCTGTTTGTCAGCATAGTGTGTACCTGTTTGTCAGCATAGTGTGTACCTGTATGTCAGCATAGTGTGTACCTGTATGTCAGCATAGTGTGTACCTGTTTGTCAGCATAGTGTGTACCTGTTTGTCAGCATAGTGTGTACCTGTTTGTCAGCATAGTGTGTACCTGTATGTCAGCATAGTGTGTACCTGTTTGTCAGCATAGTGTGTACCTGTTTGTCAGCATAGTGTGTACCTGTTTGTCAGCATAGTGTGTACCTGTATGTCAGCATAGTGTGTACCTGTTTGTCAGCATAGTGTGTACCTGTATGTCAGCATAGTTTGTACCTGTTTGTCAGCATAGTGTGTACCTGTTTGTCAGCATAGTGTGTACCTGTATGTCAGCATAGTGTGTACCTGTATGTCAGCATAGTGTGTACCTGTATGTCAGCATAGTGTGTACTGTATGTCAGCATAGTGTGTACCTGTATGTCAGCATAGTGTGTACCTGTATGTCAGCATAGTGTGTACCTGTATGTCAGCACAGTGTGTACCTGTACGTCAGCACAGTGTGTACCTGTATGTCAGCATAGTGTGTACCTGTATGTCAGCATAGTGTGTACCTGTATATCAGCATAGTGTGTACCTGTATGTCAGCATAGTGTGTACCTGTATGTCAGCATAGTGTGTACCTGTATGTCAGCATAGTGTGTACCTGTATGTCAGCATAGTGTGTACCTGTATGTCAGCATAGTGTGTACCTGTATGTCAGCATAGTGTGTACCTGTATGTCAGCATAGTGTGTACCTGTATGTCAGCATAGTGTGTACCTGTATGTCAGCATAGTGTGTACCTGTATGTCAGCATAGTGTGTACCTGTATGTCAGCACAGTGTGTACCTGTACGTCAGCACAGTGTGTACCTGTATGTCAGCACAGTGTGTACCTGTACATCAGCACAGTGTGTACCTGTACGTCAGCACAGTGTGTACCTGTATGTCAGCACAGTGTGTACCTGTACATCAGCAGTGTGTACCTGTATGTCAGCACAGTGTGTACCTGTACATCAGCACAGTGTGTACCTGTACGTCAGCACAGTGTGTACCTGTATGTCAGCACAGTGTGTACCTGTACATCAGCAGTGTGTACCTGTACGTCAGCACAGTGTGTACCTGTACATCAGCACAGTGTGTACCTGTATGTCAGCACAGTGTGTACCTGTACGTCAGCACAGTGTGTACCTGTACGTCAGCACAGTGTGTACCTGTACGTCAGCACAGTGTGTACCTGTACATCAGCACTGTGTGTACCTATACATCAGCACAGTGTGTACCTGTACGTCAGCACAGTGTGTACCTGTACGTCAGCACAGTGTGTACCTGTACGTCAGCACAGTGTGTACCTGTACATCAGCACAGTGTGTACCTGCACTCCAGCACAGTGTGTACCTGTATGTCAGCACAGTGTGTATCTGTACGTCAGCACAGTGTGTACCTGCACTCCAACACAGTGTGTACCTGTACGTCAGCACAGTGTGTACCTGTACGTCAGCACAGTGTGTACCTGTACGTCAGCGCAGTGTGTACCTGTACGTCAGCACAGTGTGTACCTGTACGTCAGCACAGTGTGTACCTGTATGTCAGCACAGTGTGTACCTGTACGTCAGCACAGTGTGTACCTGTACTCCAGCACAGTGTGTACCTGTACTCCAGCACAGTGTGTACCTGTAAGTCAGCACAGTGTGTACCTGTACTCCAGTACAGTGTGTACCTGTACTCCAGCACAGTGTGTACCTGTACTCCAGCACAGTGTGTACCTGTACATCAGCACAGTGTGTACCTGTACTCCAGCACAGTGTGTACCTGTACTTCAGCACAGTGTGTACCTGTACTCCAGCACAGTGTGTACCTGTACATCAGCACAGTGTGTACCTGTACTCCAGCACAGTGTGTACCTGTACTCCAGCACAGTGTGTACCTGTACTCCAGCACAGTGTGTACCTGTACATCAGCACAGTGTGTACCTGTACATCAGCACAGTGTGTACCTGTAATCCAGCACAGTGTGTACCTGTACATCACAGTGTGTACCTGTACTCCAGCACAGTGTGTACCTGTACTCCAGCACAGTGTGTACCTGTACATCAGCACAGTGTGTACCTGTACATCAGCACAGTGTGTACCTGTACTCCAGCACAGTGTGTACCTGTACATCACAGTGTGTACCTGTACACCAGCACAGTGTGTACCTGTACACCAGCACAGTGTGTACCTGTACACCAGCACAGTGTGTACCTGTACTCCAGCACAGTGTGTACCTGTACTCCAGCACAGTATGTACCTGTACATCAGCACAGTGTGTACCTGTACACCAGCACAGTGTGTACCTGTACTCCAGCACAGTATGTACCTGTACACCAGCACAGTGTGTACCTGTACATCAGCACAGTGTGTACCTGTACATCAGCACAGTGTGTACCTGTACACCAGCACAGTGTGTACCTGTACATCAGCACAGTGTGTACCTGTACACCAGCACAGTGTGTACCTGTACGTCAGAACAGCGTGTACCTGTACTCCAGCACAGTGTGTACCTGTACTCCAGCACAGTATGTACCTGTACACCAGCACAGTGTGTACCTGTACTCCAGCACAGTATGTACCTGTACACCAGCACAGTGTGTACCTGTACACCAGCACAGTGTGTACCTGTACGTCAGAACAGCGTGTACCTGTACTCCAGCACAGTGTGTACCTGTACACCAGCACAGTGTGTACCTGTACACCAGCACAGTGTGTACCTGTACACCAGCACAGTGTGTACCTGTACACCAGCACAGTGTGTACCTGTACGTCAGAACAGCGTGTACCTGTACTCCAGCACAGTGTGTACCTGTACTCCAGCACAGTGTGTACCTGTACTCCAGCACAGTGTGTACCTGTACACCAGCACAGTGTGTACCTGTACGTCAGAACAGCGTGTACCTGTACTCCAGCACAGTGTGTACCTGTACTCCAGCACAGTGTGTACCTGTACTCCAGCAGTGTGTACCTGTACTCCAGCACAGTATGTACCTGTACACCAGCACAGTGTGTACCTGTACACCAGCACGTGTGTACCTGTACGTCAGAAACAGCGTGTACCTGTACTCCAGCACAGTGTGTACCTGTACACCAGCACAGTGTGTACCTGTACTCCAGCACAGTATGTACCTGTACACCAGCACAGTGTGTACCTGTACACCAGCACAGTGTGTACCTGTACGTCAGAACAGCGTGTACCTGTACTCCAGCACAGTGTGTACCTGTACTCCAGCACAGTGTGTACCTGTACACCAGCACAGTGTGTACCTGTACTCCAGCACAGTGTGTACCTGTACACCAGCACAGTGTGTACCTGTACGTCAGAACAGCGTGTACCTGTACTCCAGCACAGTGTGTACCTGTACTCCAGCACAGTGTGTACCTGTACTCCAGCACAGTGTGTACCTGTACTCCAGCACAGTGTGTACCTGTACGTCAGAACAGCGTGTAAGTTTATTTAGGTACAGGTACACATAATTATAATTATCAGAGTACATATACAGTGGACCCCCGCATAACGATTACCTCCGAATGCGACCAATTATGTAAGTGTATTTATGTAAGTGCATTTGTACGTGTATGTTTGGGGGTCTGAAATGGACTAATCTACTTCATAATATTCCTTATGGGAATAAATTCGGTCAGTATTGGCACCTGAACATACTTATGGAGTGAAAAAATATCGTTAACCGGGGGTCCACTGTATATGAAATAACTTTAAAACACTTGAAACTTTGGAAAGTTTCCAGACATAATAGAGAGATGTGGAGCTCACAGAGGATGTAAACAGAGACATATGGTGGGGGTGGGTGGAGAATATAACGAGTTTGTCATAAATTCAAATGTCCGTATTAGCAAAACGCTGTAAAGCAAACCACCATAAAGCGGGGCCCTGCTGTAATAAGCAAAATTAAGGTTTATCTTCAGGCCATGGTAAACCACAGGTGACTGAAACAAGAGATGCTGGACCCACGGATACAGGGGTCCTATTTTAATAATAATAATAATAATAATAATAATAATAATAATGATACTGTAAGTCTTTGTTTATATATGGTTTTGTGACATTAAATGTCGTTATTGTCGGCAGCAACGGTTGGGCCATCGATCCGTTTGGGATGACGTCGACGATGGCGTACCTGTTGAAGAGGATGGGACTGGAGAACATGGTGGTACAGAGGGTACACTATGCTGTCAAGAAGTACCTGGCCCGGGAGAAGTGTCTGGAGTTTAGGTGGAGACAAGTATGGGGTGAGTATGATACAGTGCTGTACCACCAGTGTGGTGCACTACTGTACAACCAGTGTGGTACACTACTGTACCACCAGTGTGGTGCACTACTGTACCACCAGTGTGGTACACTACTGTACCACCAGTGTGGTGCACTACTGTACCACCAGTGTGGTGCACTACTGTACCACCAGTGTGGTGCACTACTGTACAACCAGTGTGGTGCACTACTGTAAACCAGTGTGGTACACTACTGTACCACCAGTGTGGTGCACTACTGTACCACCAGTGTGGTACACTACTGTACCACCAGTGTGGTGCACTACTGTACCACCAGAGTGGTACACTAATGTACCACCAGTGTGGTGTACTACTGTACCACCAGTGTGGTGCACTACTGTACCACCAGTGTGGTGCACTACTGTACCACCAGTGTGGTGCACTACTGTACCACCAGAGTGGTACACTAATGTACCACCAGAGTGGTGCACTACTGTACCACCAGTGTGGTACACTAATGTACCACCAGTGTGGTGTACTACTGTACAACCGTGTGGTACACTACTGTACCACCAGTGTGGTGGGACTATGTACAACCAGTGTGGTACACTACTGTACCACCAGTGTGGTGCACTTTCTGTACAACCAGTGTGGTGTACTACTGTACCACCAGGTGTGGTGCACTACTGTACCACCCGAGTGGTACACTAATGTACCACCAGTGTGGTACACTACTGTACAACCAGTGTGGTACACTACTGTACCACCAGTGTGGTGCACTACTGTACAACCAGTGTGGTGCACTACTGTACCACCAGTGTGGTGCACTGCTGTACCACCAGAGTGGTACACTAATGTACCACCAGTGTGGTACACTACTGTACAACCAGTGTGGTGCACTACTGTACAACCAGTGTGGTGCACTACTGTACCACCAGTGTGGTGCACTACTGTACCACCAGAGTGGTACACTACTGTACAACCAGTGTGGTGCACTACTGTACCACCAGAGTGGTACACTACTGTACCACCAGTGTGGTGCACTACTGTACCACCAGTGTGGTACACTACTGTACCACCAGTGTGGTGCACTACTGTACCACCAGAGTGGTACATTACTGTACCACCAGTGTGGTGCACTACTGTACCACCAGAGTGGTACACTACTGTACCACCAGTGTGGTGCACTACTGTACAACCAGTGTGGTACACTACTGTACCTGGAGTTTACCTGGAGAGAGTTCCGGGGGTCAACGCCCCCGCGGCCCGGTCTGTGACCAGGCCTCCTGGTGGATCAGAGCCTGATCAACCAGGCTGTTACTGCTGGCTGCACGCAAACCAACGTACGAGTCACAGCCCGGCTGGTCAGGTACCGACTTTAGGTGCTTGTCCAGTGCCAGCTTGAAGACTGACAGGGGTCTGTTGGTAATCCCCCTTATGTATGCTGGGAGGCAGTTGAACAGTCTCGGGCCCCTGACACTTATTGTATGGTCTCATAACGTGCTAGTGACACCCCTGCTTTTCATTGGGGGGATGTTGCATTGTCTGCCAAGTCTTTTGCTTTCGTAGTGAGTGATTTTCGTGTGCAAGTTCGGTACTAGTCCCTCTAGGATTTTCCAGGTGTATATAATCATGTATCTCTCCCGCCTGCGTTCCAGGGAATACAGGTTTAGGAACCTCAAGCGCTCACCATCAGTGTGGTGCACTACTGTACCACCAGTGTAGTACACTACTGTACCACCAGTGTGGTGCACTACTGTACCACCAGAGTGGTACACTACTGTACCACCAGTGTGGTGCACTACTGCACCACCAGAGTGGTACACTACTGTACCACCAGAGTGGTACACTACTGTACCACCAGAGTGGTACACTACTGTACCACCAGAGTGTAATAAAGTTGGTAGAATTACCGACAATATGTAAAGTAAAAGGACACAAGTGCAACTAATGTGACATTTATTGTGGCAACGTTTCGCTCTCCAGGAGCTTTATCAAGCCATGGCTTGATAAAGCTCCTGGAGAGCGAAACGTTGCCACAATAAATGTCACATTAGTTGCACTTGTGTCCTTTTACTTTACATAATGTGAAAATTTATTGTGGCAACGTTTCGCTCTCCAGGAGCTTTATCAAGGCTTGATAAAGCTCCTGGAGAGCGAAACGTTGCCACAAAAAATGTCACATTAGTTGCACTTGTGTCCTTTTACTTTACACCACCAGAGTGGTACACTACTGTACCATCAGTGTGGTGCACTACTGTACCACCAGTGTTGTACTCTACTGTACCACCAGTGTAGTACACTATTGTGCCACCAGTGTGGTACACTACTGTACCACCAGTGTGGTACACTACTGTACCACCAGAGTGGTGCACTACTGTACCACCAGTGTGATACACTACTGTACCACCAGTGTGGTGCACTACCGTACCACCAGTGTGGTACACTACTGTACCACCAGTGTGGTGAACTACTGTACCACCAGTGTGGTACACTACTGTACCACCACCAGTGTGATACACTACTGTACCACCACCAGTGTGATACACTACTGTATCACCACCAGTGTGGTACACTACTGTACCACCACCAGTGTGGTACACTACCACCACCAGTGTGGTACATAAGAACATAAGAAAGGAGGAACACTGCAGGAGGCCTGTTGGCCCATGCTAGGCAGGTCCTTTACAATTCATCCCACTAACAAAACATTTGCCCAACCCAATTTTCAATGCTACCCAAGAAATAAGCTCTGATGTGAAAGTCCCACTCAAATCCAACCCCTCCCACTCATGTACTTATCCAACCTAAATTTGAAACTACCCAAAGTCCTAGCCTCAATAACCCAACTAGGTAGACTGTTCCACTCATCAACTACCCTATTTCCAAACCAATACTTTCCTATGTCCTTTCTAAATCTAAACTTATCTAATTTAAATCCATTATTAACAAGGTCTTGAGGATATCTCTCCAAGAGAGAACCCGCAGTAATGGATTTAAATTGGATAAGTTTAGATTTAGAAAGGACATAGGAAAGTATTGGTTTGGAAATAGGGTAACATAAGAACATAAGAATGTAGGAACACTGCAGAAGGCCTACTGGCCCATACGAGGCAGGTCCTTATCAAAACGACATCTACCTAAAGCTACTCAAGAAACAACTCCCGCACCCCCCAACACCAATCAAACCCAGCCCCTCCCGCTCATATATTTGTCCAGTCTCTTCTTAAAGCTACCCAAGGTCCTAGCCTCTATCACCCCACTGGGAAGACTGTTCCACGCATCTACAACTCTGTTAGAAAACCAGTACTTACCTATGTCCTTTCTAAATCTAAATTTATCCAACTTAAATCCATTATTCCTGGTTCTTACCTGGTTCGACACCCTCAGTACTTTATTAAGGTCTCCCTTGTTTATGCCCGTCATCCACTTATACACTTCAATGATATCTCCCCTCATTCTACGCCTCTCCAGAGAGTGGAGATTTAAGGCTTTAAGTCTATCTTCATACGGGAGGTTCCTTACACAGTAAATCATTTTAGTCATTCTTCTCTGTATGTTCTCTAATGAGTCTATGTCCATCCTGTAGTAAGGGGACCAAAACTGAGCAGCATAATCTAAATGAGGCCTCACTAGTGATGTATAGAGCTGTAAAATAACTTTTGGACTTCTGTTACTTATACTTCTTGAGATAAATCCAAGTAATCTGTTGGCCTTGTTGCGCACACTGAGGCACTGCTGTCTTGGCTTTAGATTTCTGCTTACCATGACTCCCAAGTCTTTTTCACATTCTGTATGACCAAGCTCTACTTCACCTAGATTATAGCTTCGAGGGTTATTTTCATTACCAAGGGCAAGTACCTTACACTTATCCACATTAAACTTCATCTGCCATTTCTCAGACCAAGACATTAATTTGTTCAAATCGTCCTGGAGTTCATTGATATCCTCCTCAGAGTGAATTATACGGCCTATCTTTGTATCATCAGCAAACTTACTCATGTCACTAGTAATCCCTTCATCAAGGTCATTAATGTAAATTATGAACAAGAGAGGGCCTAAAACTGATCCTTGTGGAACGCCACTAGTGACTAATCCCCATTCAGATTTCACTCCATTAATGGTAACTCTCTGCTTTCTATTGGTAAGCCATGCCTCAGTTGATGAGTGGAACAGTCTACCTAGTTGGGTTATTGAGGCTGGGACTTTGGGTAGTTTCAGATTTAGGTTGGATAAGTACATGAGTGGGAGGGGTTGGATTTGAGTGGGACTTGCACATCGGAGCTTGTTTCTAGGGTGGCACTGAAAATTGGGTTGGTCAAATGTTTGTTAGTGGGATGAATTGTAAAGGACCTGCCTCGTATGGGCCAACAGGCCTGCCGCAGTGTTCCTCCTTTCTTATGTTCTTATGTTCTTACTGTGGGTTCTCTCTTGGAGAGACATCCTCAAGACCTTATTAATATCCCCTTTATTAATACCTATCTTCCACTTATACACTTCGATCAGGTCTCCCCTCATTCTTCGTCTAACAAGTGAATGTAACTTAAGAGTCTTCAATCTTTCTTCATAAGGAAGATTTCTAATGCTATGTATTAATTTAGTCATCCTACGCTGAATGTTTTCTAACGAATTTATGTCCATTCTGTAATATGGAGACCAGAACTGAGCTGCATAATCTAGGTGAGGCCTTACTAATGATGTATAAAGCTGCAGTATGACCTCTGGACTTCTGTTGCTTACACTTCTTGATATAAATCCCAGTAATCTATTTGCCTTATTATGTACGCTTAGGTATTGCTGTCTTGGTTTAAGGTTGCTGCTCACCATAACCCCCAAATCCTTTTCGCAATCTGTATGGCTAAGTTCTACATCATTTAACTTATAAGTACTAGGGTTATGGACACTCCCAAGCTTCAGAACCTTGCATTTATCTACATTGAACTGCATCTGCCACTTTTCTGACCAAGAATAGAGTTTGTTTAAATCCTCCTGAAGTTCCATAACATCTACGTTTGAATCAATTATCCTACCTATCTTTGTGTCATCGGCGAATTTGCTCATATCACTAGTAATTCCCTCATCAAGATCATTGATATATATTATAAACAACAACGGGCCCAAGACTGATCCCTGTGGAACGCCACTTGTTACAGATCCCCACTCGGATTTAACCCCATTTATGGACACTCTCTGCTTCCTGTCAGTGAGCCATGACTCGATCCACGAGAGCACTTTTCCCCCAATGCCATGAGCTGCCACTTTCTTTAACAGTCTATGGTGTGGAACTCTATCAAAAGCCTTACTAAAATCTAAGTAAATAATATCAAATTCTTTATCGTGGTCAACAGCCTCAAAAGCTTTACTGAAGAAAGTTAATAAATTAGTTAGACAAGACCGGCCTCTTGTGAATCCATGCTGAGTATCATTAATCAAGCTATGCTTATCGAGATGGCTTCTTATAATCTCAGCTATAATTGACTCGAGTAATTTGCCTACAATTGAGGTCAGGCTTATTGGGCGGTAATTTGACGGTAACGACTTGTCCCCTGTTTTAAAAACAGGAATTACATTAGCCATCTACACTACACTACTGTACCACCAGTGTGGTACACTACTGTACTACCAGTGTGGTACTCTACTGTACCACCACCAGTGTGGTACACTACTGTACCACCAGTGTGGTACACTACCACAAGTGTGGTACACTATTGTACCACCAAGTTTAAAGTCTATCTACTACATGATCATTTAAGAAAAACTTAAATAATTGAACTGAACATAAAACCAAGAAAAGTGGATCTAAACCAGTGTTGTGTTGAGGATGGTGGATCTAAACCAGTGTTGTGTTGAGGATGGTGGATCTAAACCAGTGTTGTGTTGAGGATGGTGGATCTAAACCAGTGTTGTGTTGAGGATGGTGGATCTAAACCAGTGTTGTGTTGAGGATGGTGGATCTAAACCAGTGTTGTGTTGAGGATGGTGGATCTAAACCAGTGTTGTGTTGAGGATGGTGGATCTAAACCAGTGTTGTGTTGAGGATGGTGGATCTAAACCAGTGTTGTGTTGTGGATAGTGGATCTAAACCAGGGATGAGGAAGGTTGGTCTACACCAGTCTTGTGTAGCACAGGCTGACGGTTGGTCTACACCAGTCTTGTGTAGCACAGGCTGACGGTTGGTCTACACCAGTCTTGTGTAGTGCAGGCTGACGGTTGGTCTACACCAGTCTTGTGTAGTGCAGGCTGACGGTTGGTCTACACCAGTCTTGTGTAGCACAGGCTGACTGTTGGTCTACACCAGTCTTGTGTAGCACAGGCTGATGGTTGGTCTACACCAGTCTTGTGTAGCACAGGCTGACGGTTGGTCTATACCAGTCTTGTGTAGCACAGGCTGATGGTTGGTCTACACCAGTCTTGTGTAGCACAGGCTGACGGTTGGTCTACACCAGTCTTGTGTAGCACAGGCTGACGGTTGGTCTACACCAGTCTTGTGTAGCACAGGCTGGCGGTTGGTCTACACCAGTCTTGTGTAGCGCAGGCTGACGGTTGGTCTACACCAGTCTTGTGTAGCGCAGGCTGACGGTTGGTCTACACCAGTCTTGTGTAGCGCAGGCTGATGGTTGGTCTACACCAGTCTTGTGTAGCGCAGGCTGACGGTTGGTCTACACCAGTCTTGTGTAGTGCAGGCTGACGGTTGGTCTACACCAGTCTTGTGTAGCGCAGGCTGATGGTTGGTCTACACCAGTCTTGTGTAGCGCAGGCTGACGGTTGGTCTACACCAGTCTTGCGTAGCGCAGGCTGACGGTTGGTCTACACCAGTCTTGTGTAGCGCAGGCTGACGGTTGGTCTACACCAGTCTTGTGTAGCGCAGGCTGACAGTTGGTCTACACCAGTCTTGTGTAGCGCAGGCTGACGGTTGGTCTACACCAGTCTTGTGTAGCGCAGGCTGATGGTTGGTCTACACCAGTCTTGTGTAGCGCAGGCTGACGGTTGGTCTACACCAGTCTTGTGTAGCGCAGGCTGACGGTTGGTCTACACCAGTCTTGTGTAGCGCAGGCTTACGGTTGGTCTACACCAGTCTTGTGTAGCGCAGGCTGACGGTTGGTCTACACCAGTCTTGTGTAGCGCAGGCTGACGGTTGGTCTACACCAGTCTTGTGTAGTGCAGGCTGACGGTTGGTCTACACCAGTCTTGTGTAGCGCAGGCTGACGGTTTGGTCTACACCAGTCTTGTGTAGCGCAGGCTGACGGTTGGTCTACACCAGTCTTGTGTAGCGCAGGCTGACGGTTGGTCTACACCAGTCTTGTGTAGCGCAGGCTGACGGTTGGTCTACACCAGTCTTGTGTAGCACAGGCTGACGGTTGGTCTACACCAGTCTTGTGTAGCGCAGGCTGACGGTTGGTCTACACCAGTCTTGTGTAGCGCAGGCTGACGGTTGGTCTACACCAGTCTTGTGTAGCGCAGGCTGATGGTTGGTCTACACCAGTCTTGTGTAGCGCAGGCTGACGGTTGGTCTACACCAGTCTTGTGTAGCACAGGCTGATGGTTGGTCTACACCAGTCTTGTGTAGTGCAGGCTGACGGTTGGTCTACACCAGTCTTGTGTAGCGCAGGCTGACGGTTGGTCTACACCAGTCTTGTGTAGCGCAGGCTGCTCTGTATTTGATTGAGGAAGGCTCCTACATAGGTGCAACTTTTCAACAATAAAGGTCCCTAAGTGTGGCATATGTGTCTCATCAACTTGTGGATGTTTTATAGCATCATCAATGTCATAATGTTCTACTTTGTGTTCAGACTTCTTCGGCGGCCACACAATCTTTCTTACAGTTTGGCGACCTTCAGAATTGCTATTTATTTGGGGCCCAAGGAACGTAACCCTATTTTTCCCTTATATTTTTGTTTTATTTTATATGATTTTTTATGAAGAACATAACTACCGCCTTAATTGATGCTTAGGTGTATATGTATTAAACTTGTGTTGCATCAGGGCAATAATCCCTTCATTTACACCATTGTGGTCATCATTTACACTGCCATCATCATTTACAGACTCTGGCAGCTCGACAGAGATGTTATGCCACATGATGCCATTCTACAGCTATGACGTGCCTCACACCTGTGGCCCTGACCCTAAGATCTGCTGTCAGTTTGACTTCCGGCGCCTGCCAGGCTCTGGTGTCACCTGCCCCTGGCACCTACCACCCCAGACCATCAGTGACCACAACCTGGCAGCCAGGTAACTACCACTACCCCTGACACCTACCACAGCAGACCATCAACCTGGCAGCTAGGTAGCTACCCTCCCTCCCTCACCTCTGGCACCTACCACCCACACTAGGCAGGTCCTTCTCAAAACTAACCATTATCACCCACACATTTGCACAATCTATACCCAAAGATCCACAAAAAGTTATCTTCAGTATCTCAGATCCTCATTAAACCCAGACAGTATACACTTATATATTTGTTTGACTTATTTTTCAAGCTGCCCAAGGTTTGAGCTTCTAGTACCCTACTTGGTAGATTGTTCCGCTCGTTGACAATTCTGTTTCAAAGCCAGGACTTACCTACATATTTTCTAAATCTAAATTTATTTAATTTAAATCTCATATTACAGGTTCTTGATTCAATATTCTCAATATTTTGTTTATATTGCCTTTGTTTATGTCCATCATCCAATTGTATACTTTATTGATGTCTGATCTTATTCTGTCTCAACAGTGAAGGTTGAAGGTTCTCAGTCTGTCCTTGTATGAGAGATTCCTTGTACAGTGAATTGTACAGGAGGGTCCTGCTTATACAGCAGGTTATGTTCTGGACTACTGCTGTACAGGAGGGTCCTGCTTATACAGCAGGTTATCTTCCAGGGTACTGCTGTACAGGAGTGTCCTGCTTATACAGCATGTTATCTTCCAGGGTACTGCTGTACAGGAGTGTCCTGCTTATACAGCAGGTTATCTTCCAGGGTACTGCTGTACAGGAGTGTCCTGCTTATACAGCAGGTTATCTTCCAGGGTACTGCTGTACAGGAGTGTCCTGCTTATACAGCAGGTTATCTTCCAGGGTACTGCTGTACAGGAGTGTCCTGCTTATACAGCAGGTTATCTTCCAGGGTACTGCTGTACAGGAGGGTCCTGCTTATACAGCAGGTTATCTTCCAGGGTACTGCTGTACAGGAGGGTCCTGCTTATACAGCAGGTTATCTTCCAGGGTACTGCTGTACAGGAGGGCCCTGCTTATACAGCAGGTTATCTTCCAGGGTACTGCTGTACAGGAGGACCCTGCTTATACAGCAGGTTATCTTCCAGAGTACTGCTGTACAGGAGGACCTTGCTTATATAGCAGGTTATCTTCCAGGGTACTGCTGTACAGGAGGGTCCTGCTTATACAGCAGGTTATCTTCCAGGGTACTGCTGTACAGGAGGGCCCTGCTTATACAGCAGGTTATCTTCCAGGGTACTGCTGTACAGGAGGGTCCTGCTTATACAGCAGGTTATCTTCCAGGGTACTGCTGTACAGGAGGGTCCTGCTTATACAGCAGGTTATCTTCCAGGGTACTGCTGTACAGGAGGGTCCTGCTTATACAGCAGGTTATCTTCCAGGGTACTGCTGTACAGGAGTGTCCTGCTTATACAGCAGGTTATCTTCCAGGGTACTGCTGTACAGGAGGGCCCTGCTTATACAGCAGGTTATCTTTCAGGGTACTGCTGTACAGGAGGGTCCTGCTTATACAGCAGGTTATCTTCCAGGGTACTGCTGTACAGGAGGGTCCTGCTTATACAGCAGGTTATCTTCCAGGGTACTGCTGTACAGGAGGGTCCTGCTTATACAGCAGGTTATCTTCCAGGGTACTGCTGTACAGGAGGACCCTGCTTATACAGCAGGTTATATTCCAGACTAATGCTGTACAGGAGGGTCCTGCTTATACAGCAGGTTATATTCCGGACTACTGCTGTACAGGAGGGTCCTGCTTATACAGCAGGTTATCTTCCAGGGTACTGCTGTACAGGAGGGTCCTGCTTATACAGCAGGTTATCTTCCAGGGTACTGCTGTACAGGAGGGCCCTGCTTATACAGCAGGTTATCTTCCAGGGTACTGCTGTACAGGAGGACCCTGCTTATACAGCAGGTTATCTTCCAGAGTACTGCTGTACAGGAGGACCCTGCTTATATAGCAGGTTATCTTCCAGGGTACTGCTGTACAGGAGGGTCCTGCTTATACAGCAGGTTATCTTCCAGGGTACTGCTGTACAGGAGGGCCCTGCTTATACAGCAGGTTATCTTCCAGGGTACTGCTGTACAGGAGGGCCCTGCTTATACAGCAGGTTATCTTCCAGGGTACTGCTGTACAGGAGGGCCCTGCTTATACAGCAGGTTATCTTCCAGGGTACTGCTGTACAGGAGGGTCCTGCTTATACAGCAGGTTATCTTCCAGGGTACTGCTGTACAGGAGGGTCCTGCTTATACAGCAGGTTATCTTCCAGGGTACTGCTGTACAGGAGGGCCCTGCTTATACAGCAGGTTATCTTCAGGTACTGCTGTACAGGAGGGTCCTGCTTATACAGCAGGTTATCTTCCAGGGTACTGCTGTACAGGAGGGTCCTGCTTATACAGCAGGTTATCTTCCAGGGTACTGCTGTACAGGAGGGTCCTGCTTATACAGCAGGTTATCTTCCAGGGTACTGCTGTACAGGAGGACCCTGCTTATACAGCAGGTTATATTCCAGACTAATGCTGTACAGGAGGGTCCTGCTTATACAGCAGGTTATATTCCGGACTACTGCTGTACAGGAGGGTCCTGCTTATACAGCAGGTTATCTTCCAGGGTACTGCTGTACAGGAGGGTCCTGCTTTAACAGCAGGTTATCTTCCAGGGTACTGCTGTACAGGAGGGTCCTGCTTATACAGCAGGTTATCTTCCAGGGTACTGCTGTACAGGAGGGTCCTGCTTATACAGCAGGTTATCTTCCAGGGTACTGCTGTACAGGAGGGCCCTGCTTATACAGCAGGTTATCTTCCAGGGTACTGCTGTACAGGAGGGTCCTGCTTATACAGCAGGTAAAGTTCTGGGCTACTGCTGTACAGAAGGGCCCCATTTATACAGTAGGTTAGGTTCCTGGCTACTGCTGTACAGGAGGGCCCCATTTATACAGTAGGTTAGGTTCCTGGCTACTACTGTACAGGAGGGCCCCATTTATACAGTAGGTTAGGTTCCTGGCTACTGCTGTACAGGAGGGCCCCACTTATACATCAGGTTAGGTTCCTGGCTACTACTGTACAGGAGGGCCCCACTTATACATCAGGTTAGGTTCCTGGCTACTACTGTACAGGAGGGCCCCACTTATACATCAGGTTAGGTTCCTGGCTACTACTGTACAGGAGGGCCCCATTTATACATCAGGTTAGGTTCCTGGCTACTACTGTACAGGAGGGCCCCACTTATACATCAGGTTAGGTTCCTGGCTACTACTGTACAGGAGGGCCCCATTTATACATCAGGTTAGGTTCCTGGCTACTACTGTACAGGAGGGCCCCACTTATACATCAGGTTAGGTTCCTGGCTACTACTGTACTGGAGGGCCCCACTTATACATCAGGTTAGGTTCCTGGCTACTACTGTACTGGAGGGCCCCACTTATACAGCAGGTTAGGTTCCTGGCTACTACTGTACTGGAGGGTCCCACTTATGCATCAGGTTAGGTTCCTGGCTACTGCTGTACAGGAGGGCCCCATTTATACAGCAAGTTAGGTTCCTGGCTACTACTGTACAGGAGGGCCCCATCTATACATCAGGTTAGGTTCCTGGCTACTACTGTACAGAAGGGCCCCATTTATACAGCAGGTTAGGTTCCTGGCTACTACTGTACAGAAGGGCCCCATTTATACAGCAGGTTAGGTTCCTGGCTACTACTGTACTGGAGGGCCCCATTTATACAGCAGGTTAGGTTCCTGGCTACTGCTGTACAGGAGTGCCCCATTTATACATCAGGTTAGGTTCCTGGCTACTGCTGTACAGGAGGGCCCCATTTATACAGCAAGTTAGGTTCCTGGCTACTACTGTACAGGAGGGCCCCATCTATACATCAGGTTAGGTTCCTGGCTACTACTGTACAGAAGGGCCCCATTTATACAGCAGGTTAGGTTCCTGGCTACTACTGTACAGAAGGGCCCCATCTATACATCAGGTTAGGTTCCTGGCTACTACTGTACAGAAGGGCTCCATTTATACAGCAGGTTAGGTTCCTGGCTACTACTGTACAGAAGGGCCCCATTTATACAGCAGGTTATTTTCCTGGCTACTGCTGTACAGGAGGGCCCCACTTATACAGCAGGTTAGGTTCCTGGCTACTACTGTACAGGAGGGCCCCACTTATACAGTAGGTTAGGTTCCTGGCTACTGCTGTACAGGAGGGCCCCACTTATACAGCAGGTTAGGTTCCTGGCTACTGCTGTACAGGAGGGCCCCACTTATACAGCAGGTTAGGTTCCTGGCTACTACTGTACAGGAGGGCCCCACTTATACAGTAGGTTAGGTTCCTGGCTACTGCTATACAGGAGGGCCCCACTTATACAGTAGGTTAGGTTCCTGGCTACTGCTGTACAGAAGGGCCCCACTTATACAGTAGGTTAGGTTCCTGGCTACTGCTGTACAGGAGGGCCCCACTTATACAGTAGGTTAGGTTCCTGGCTACTGCTGTACAGGAGGGCCCCATTTATACAGCAGGTTAGGTTCCTGGCTACTACTGTACAGAAGGGCCCCACTTATACATCAGGTTAGGTTCCTGGCTACTGCTGTACAGAAGGGCCCCACTTATACAGCAGGTTAGGTTCCTGGCTACTACTGTACTGGAGGGCCCCACTTATACAGCAGGTTAGGTTCCTGGCTACTACTGTACTGGAGGGCCCCACTTATACAGCAGGTTAGGTTCCTGGCTACTGCTGTACTGGAGGGCCCCATTTATACAGCAGGTTAGGTTCCTGGCTACTGCTGTACTGGAGGGTCCCATTTATACACCAGGTTAGGTTCCTGGCTACTGCTGTACTGGAGGGCCCCATTTATACAGCAGGTTAGGTTCCTGGCTACTGCTGTACTGGAGGGCCCCACTTATACAGCAGGTTAGGTTCCTGGCTACTGCTGTACTGGAGGGCCCCACTTATACAGCAGGTTAGGTTCCTGGCTACTACTGTACAGGAGGACCCCACTTATACATCAGGTTAGGTTCCTGGCTACTACTG